CGCCCGGCGCGATAGGATGATGGGAGGGGGGGGGGGAATGAAGAAAGAAAGTTTACTTGCTTACTTGCCTCCTAGTTACTAACCTCCTGTGTTCTAACAACGACCCCCCCCCCTCCTTTGTCTCCAGTCAAACCAGCAGACTGTGACTTTGCTGGGGAGACAAGCACGGGGTCTCCCAGGACCAGCTTCAGCACGAAGCAGCTGACAGAGCTGGAGAAAGAATTCCACTTCAACAAGTACCTGCCCCGGGCCCGGCGGGTGGAGATCGCCTGCGCCTTGCAGCTCAGCGAAACCCAGGTGAAGATCTGGTTCCAGAACCGCAGGATGAAGCAGAAGAGGAGGGTGAGGGAGAGTTTCCTCGAGGGAGCCGCTGGCTGCAAGGTCCCGGGGTCTTCCTCTGACAAGTCAGACCTGGCCTGCCCAGCAACCTCTCCTGGCAGACAGAAGGAGGCTCCCAGGCCTTCGCTCCGACAGGCCCTTGGTTGTTAGAACTTCTGCCCTGATCTTTGAGAGCCACCTTCTCCATGAGAGCCACCCAGCTTCCTAGGGGGAGAGGGTGCAGGGCTCTGAAAACAATGCAATGGACTTGGGAATGAAAGCACACGCCAAAAACCTCTGCAGGGCCTTCCAGACTCACCGCCCGTTAAATCGGTGTCCTTCCAACACAAGCAGATGGTAGATTCATGAATGACTAGCTTAAAAAAAGGCCCTTTCCCCTCGACATTCTTACAGAAAGGTGACTAGAGAGGGCCAATTTTTTTTTCAAAACCACGTTTTTACAAAACAAAACAAAAAATGGAGAGAAGAAAAAGTTCTCGGGCCCTCAAAAAGTGTCTTGATTCTTTCTGAGTGGTTCTGACTTTTTTTTCCCCACTAAAAGTTTCCGTTTCGTTTTTATGCATGATACCGTTACACTTTTTCCACGCACAAAACATTCTCCAAACTCTTTAGTCACCAAATCTGTAGCTTAATATTTTTTTTTTCCACAAAATGTCTCATTTTGTGATGGAAGGTTTTGATGAGCTAGCAGTTTGGACAAAGTCTAGTTTCACAAAGGATTTTCCTCCAAAAGTTGCGAGGTCAGCTTTATTCACAATGAGTTTTCACAATTTTTTGTTTCTGAAAGAACATTGTTTGGTGGGGGTCTTTGCATGGCTTTTTTTTTTCCACAGAAAATGTCACAATTTTTTCACCAAATGTTTCAATTCCCTGTTTTTCAAAACAGCTTTTGACAAGAATTTCGGGGAGGATTTCCAATGTTCTTATTTCATTGAGCTCTTTTAGAAAGAGCTGGGGTTATCGTCTCCTGGGAGTAGGTTTTTGAAAGATATGTAATGATGCCACAGTGGTGAAATGTCTAGGGAGAAGAAAGCACCTCAAAAATGTTTTGAAGACCAAGACATTTTTGCTGAACTTGGCATTCTAGCCTCAGACGGCCATTCTGGGCCAAGATACCTGCCCGCTCACATGACTGATATTCTAACGCTGTGGTGTCCAGCTAGTTCTGAAGCTACTGCTACAGCGAACTAGCCACACTCAACCGGCCAAATAGCCACATGTGGCTAGCGGTCAACGTGTGGACACCACGGCTCTCGTGGCTGAGTTAACCTGCTCTCTGCTGCGATACCAAAGGGACAGAAAGAAAGGTTTCAAACTCACCAGAGCCAATGGAAAAAGTCTTTAAAGGACTTCGGATCTGAGCTACATGAAACAAGTTCTGTGCCGCGTGATCAGTGGGCTGACACAGAGATTGGATCAAGTAAATATGTTTTCCCCTGGCTTTTAAATGTGCTCTCCTAGGCCACATGCACTCCCAGCATAAATGGATAAGGCAGGAAAAATGTGAGTTCAAAATCAGGATTAGAAATACAAGAAGCATGATCATTATCCCATAAATAACCCCTCAGCCAAAGCTTAGAAGTGTTTTATTTATTTGCGCATTTCCAAGGTTCTTCATTAACATTTAAATCTTCTACAGCTGGAAAGAAACACACTCTTCCTACTGAATGTGGATTTAATATATAGCAAGGAGTAGTGGAGTGAAAGCAACACACAAAATTCAGATGTCAGGGGTGTTGTCACAACTTTAATAGGACAGTGGGGGTGAGCTGGAGAGAAGTGAATAGTTGCTTTTAAAAATCTTAATAAAAGATTAAATGGAGGCCCACGTTTTATCAAGGACAAACTATAATAATGGTTGTAATAACCCTTGGTAACACTAGAGCCACTTATGCTGAGAAAAAGTTTGCACACAGTGCCTGACTTTGGAGAAATCATCTGTTCTTTTTCATCACCGTACTTTATTTTGATTATTACTGATATTTGACTTTTAAATCTGCATTTGAGGAATGCCTTTTTGTGCATGGTTTATTTTCACTGGGCTCATGCATTACAAGAGGTTAACCCAGCGAAAGGACTTAGGTGGCTTAAAAGTACATTTGATTTAAAAAAATATATATGGCTATATTCTTCAACAGCCACTGAATTCATAGCAAATGTTATGCAAACCAAACTTTCCCGCAGTCTTCCTTTTTAGGATTAATGGAGCAGTTCTAGGGTTCCAACTCCCCTAAATAATATGCACATCAGTGGAATCTGAAGCAGGACAATCTCTAGAAACAGTTGCCTTTTTAATTTGATCTTTAAATTTGCAGTTCGGTCTAATTATGCTGGAAAAAAAAAGACAAATACACGTAAAACAATCGCTAGGTACCAAATATGCTAATTCGCTAGCAACACTATTATTTTGTCTTTCCCCGCTGCAAAATTCTAATCACATTTCTGAAATGAGCTGTGAATTGTTCACTACAGCCCTCCTGTGGAATGAGCGTTGCTGCTGAGATTTGCGTGTTTAAAATGAATTTTCCTTGCACTGCTCTGTAACAATGTTTTTATCGTCTGGCCTGGTTTTAAAAAGTCTCCTAAAATGTGTTATTTTACGTGACTCCATGAGGAAAGCAAAGGTAAGTTCAGCCATCTTGGTGACGCCGCAAAATGTCCAGAATTGGTACAACAGAGAAAGAAAAAGTGAAATTTAAAATCTTGGGGGATTGCAGAGGGTAGTTATGAGTGCAATGTAAAATTGGCGGATTTTCCTTTATACCAAAGATGTATAGCGACTCCAGTCCTGGAGCAGGAGACTTCTTTTGACACTGGAGAATATTGGAAAGGCATGTGAAAAGGAAGGGAACTATTGCAAGATGTCTACCTCTTATTTGTCAGGACTATCAAAATGTATGCAGTGTGGCTGTAGCAGTGTCAGTCCTAGGGAGCACCAAGGTGAGGGAGCTGATATCTTTTAGTGGACTCACTTGCGTTAGTGAACAATACAACCTTGTGAGCTACAGAGTGGTCCTGAAGAAGAGCTTTGTGTAGCTTAAAATCTAATCTTAGACGCTGGTCCAATAAAAGACAATAGCTCACCCACCTGGTCCCCCAGGACTATCGGACACAAGATGTGGATTTATTTATTGATTTATTTATTGTCTTTCAATGTGACACGGGCGGTGTGTTGTGGTGGGAAATGCACATTTGAAGGGACAACATTAAAAACGGTCTTGGTTTGATTCGATTTGGGTTCTTTCTTTTATTTACCATTTATGCTAAGATGGCACCTCAGCTCCAGCGAACTGGTATGTCCACCTTGCAACGCGACACGGAACATCACCCCCACATCGTCCCAGACGGTTCCTGCCCCTGCGCCCTTGCAATATTGCATGCTGAATTGAATGCTCTCCCCCTCCTTAAGAGGGGATTGCTCTCCCGCCAAGTTGCTCAAAAGAAGCAAAACTTGCAGCATTTTGAGGGGGGGGGGAGAATAAGGCAGGAATCTGTAAAGGCATCATTCACGTTGCAATAGAAACCTTCAAGGAAATGTCAAAATTCAAAGTGGACACACTCATCAGCTTGAAATAAAACCCCAACCTCTTTTTGCTGTGAGTAAATAGGTTGCAAGAGGGAGATATTTTGAGGCATGAACTACGGCTCCCAAACGTGTGCTGGTTCCCACAGAATTATGGCAACGTTACGCTTATCTAGCACAAGTGGCCCGTGTACGACAGCTGGGGAATGGGCACGGACCATTATGACCATCTCATCTGACTTCCCGCTCGACACAGGCCGGAAAGGGTCACCCAGTGATTCCTTCAGTAGGCCCCGTGCCGTACCGTTGAAACAACAGGTTGTGCTCGATTGTCCACTATGCACGATCCAATGGTTGCAGAGGAGGTCGTTAGGTGCACGTGACCTCCAACCCGTGTTCCCTGTAAGCGGAGCACTTGGACGGCCACCGTGGAGTGATTCAGGTGCCACTCAGGTGATTGATAGAGCGCCCACTGCCGGCAACATGTCTTTCTTTGGTGGTGCACATAATAAAATTTATTCTGCACATTCATGGAAAAAATTAGAGGGCACCTTGCCTCCAGCTTGCAGAATCCTAAGGGTACTGCTCCACTGTACCTGGAGGTGTGATTTCCATCCTGGGGAAACTCACATGCACTTGTTTTAATGGAGCTAGCATGTTAAAACTCCAGTGTGGCCTAGGGTGGCAAGAGCACTGACATAAGCTACCCCCCAGTACTATCCCCCCTCAGCATCCGTCACCCGGTAATGTGGGTTGGGGAGGATCGGAGAAGAGTGCGGGGACCCCTGGTTGGGGATGGGATGGGGTGGAGTCACATGGAAGGTCATGTGGGGAGGTCACACGCCTCTCCCCCTTCCATGGTCTGCTCCCACCCTGTGCCACGGCTGCCTAAAGCAACCAGGTACTTGCAACCTCGTGGGTTCAAAAATCACACGCCTGCCCACCCCTTCGCTGAGCTGGCCTCGAGTGGCTCCGCGGGGCCCGGAGCAGTGGGGTGGCCCTCTGCGGGAGGATGCTGGGGGCAGTGGCCCATGACCATTAGGGGCAGACTTTTCAGCAAGGCCCAGGCAGTTTCAGAGAGAACCGCCTCTGGAAAACGTAGCTGGCCCCCAACTGCACGAAGCTGATCTGTCTGACTGACATGAAAAGCAGCGTGTCTACTACAAAGAGGCTGTTCAGCTCTTCATGCCCAACAGTGGGTTCCAAAGAGATGGAAAAATTCCCACTGTTGGCTCATAGGCGGTGGGATGAAGGAGGAGAATATTCTGTCCTGCATGCTCTGAAAGACATTAGAGGGCCATTTATTAGAGATACTCTATTGAGCAGGAGTGATCACCAGTCGGGAAGCCCTCTCCCCGGCGTAGAGTCAAGATGTTGGCTGTGGTGGTGTTGGATTGTTAAGTGAACCTCTAGGTCAGTGTTTCTTAAACCGTATTCCGAGGCACACCGGTGTGCTGCAAGGCAGTCGGAGGTGTGCCGCAGAGAACAACAGAATTCAAAATGGCCACTCTTAAAGGGACAGGCAACTTTTTTGTTTTGTTTTTTTGCTCAATAACTTTCCCCTCCCGACCCTTTTTTTTTTTTCCTCAACAAAAAATCCTTGCTGTTCCTCAAAAAAAAAAAATTGTTTGGTGTTCCTCAGTCTTAAAAAGTTTAAGAAACATTGCTCTAGGAAGACGGGGTGCTTCAGTTACTGAGATTGATCCTCTGGAGGACAATTTTAAATATTACAACACTGGTTCAAAATAAATGAGATTTAATGCAATAACAACACACGGGGGGCGGGGGGGGCCGAGGGGCCTTTTAGTTCCCTTCTTGTTTCTGGGCCTTTCAGCATCCCGTTTTCGGGCTTTTCCCTGTAACCACAAGGCCAGAAACATGCTCTTTCATAAACAGGAAATCTGAGAGGCTCACGCAAATCCCATGATTCCGGGAGCTGGGTCTGTCAGCCAGACACCAAACTCAGGATGGTGCAGGACATGAGGAATTCCTTAAGAAGAAGCTCTAGGGCCGAATCCGTTTCTTTTGTCTCCAGCTGGTACACCCCAGATTGCATCAACTGTGTTTGGGCCTGTCGGAACATTTCATATTTTCTCTGGGTGGCAGAGGGTTTATTCTGAAATTACAACTGTCTTACAGAAAATCCATGCAGGTCTACTCTTCCTTTCACCTCTGACCTTTTGACCTCTTCCTTGCCTGAGGACAGAGTTGACCCGGTCATTGACTAACCCTGAGTCAATAAGTCTGCCTTCATTAGCATAAAACATGAATCTCGTGGCAGCTTGACAAATTATAACTTGGAGCTAAAGATCTGCCAACTAGCAAGCTCCTGTACCGACGATTCATCATTGGAAATGGTAAATCATAGGAATCCAGATGACTCGATTTCTTGTGCATAAGAAAGACAGAAAGACAGAAAGAATTCTGCATGGCCACAGGGATGGTTAAAGACAAAGCCTCACCCCACAGCATGAAAATGACCAAGCTCTCTCATGATTCTTCTCTTTCTTCCCAAACAGCCATCTCTTTCCTTCTGTCAGTTTCATTCTCTCTTTCCTCGGGTCTGTCTCTCTTGACTCATTCCCTCTGTCCCTCCATCTCATTTTTTTCTTTGTCCCCCTCTCTCCGCACAATCTCCGTTTCTCTTTGTTTCTTTCGCCCTTTGCCACTTCCTCTTTGTCTCCATTTCTCTTTCTATTGGCCTCATCCTTCAGTTCTATGCACCGTTCTCTCTGCTCCTTTCTCTCCGTTTCCCTTCCTCAGACATTCCCGCTTCTCCAGCTTTCTCCTTGCCAAATCGCTCCTTTTCCCCGGTGTGCTGTGTCGCGGATTCCCGGCCCGAGCTGAGGCATCAGCACAGAAGCGTCATCCAGCAAAATCAGGGCCCACGGAGGGCCCAATCCAGTCCTCTAGGTACAAGCCAAGCTGCCTTCACGGCTACTGCACCGGAGAAATTGATGTCAGCCACGCTCACTGATGGGGAGACCTGCAGATCTGCCACGGTGCTTGCAACCCTTGCTCACTGAGCTGGGGAGAAAGCATCATCACCCGCCGCGCACTCCACAACATAGGAGCCGGCTTTGCTTTGCTGATGGTCCCAGGCCTGTTCTCCCTGGCAGGATGGGGCGTGGACAATAGGTCCCCGTTCTGGCCTAGTTCTTTGCCATGCTACTGACTTCAAGGGGGTGGTGGAAGATGAAAAAGCAGACGGGGAAGACATGCTCACCCAGAGACGAGAAGGACCACAAAGAGCAAGAGAAAGCCAGACAGAAAAAGATTCAAGAGGAAAAGAGAAATCAAGGGTCAGCTCTTGTGCGAATAGAATCAGGCTCCATTTCCTGCTCTGTTGGGATCGATTCGACCATCCCCTGCACGGGTGTAAATGCAGAGTTGCCCCGATTGACTCCAATGCTGTTATTCCAGTTTGACACCAGTACTATCCAGAGCGGAGGGTTGCCGTTACTCTCCGAGGCTGATTGCAGCTGTGTCAGCTGCCCGATACTTCTCTCCCTGCTGCCGTTTCAATAAATGTCTCCTGGCAACCAGACCTGAAATAAACACCAGCCCCTAAAATTACCCCTTAGCCCAGGCCAAACGGCTTGTCCTGACCCCAGAGATACTATTTTCCAGTGGCGCAAATTTGTTTACCATAAATCTCAATCGGGGGCCAGATTCTCCGTCAAGGGGGCCCGCTCTCCAGATGGTGTAAATCAATGAAGCTGCCTTGGAAACAGATCCCCCACTGGCATAAACGGGGGGCAACTCCATTGGCGTCGGGGGAGGAGAGGGACAGAATCCCAAGTGGTGAAAATCATCAGTGGCTCTATTGCAGGTAATGGAACCACATCAATTTGCAAAGGATACGGCCCTTTCCCTCTTAGGCAATTGTGCTGGCAGACACCACATCAATTTGCAAAGGATACGGCCCTTCCCCTCTCAGGCAATTGTGCTGGCAGACAAGATCCCCTCCCGAATTCCCAAGCAAGAACCTTTCGCACGCTAATTACATTTTATTGTTTCAAATAAAAAGAAAGGAAGGAAGGGAGGAAGGAAGGAAGAAAAAAAGACAAAGTTAACAAGAACCACCACACTTGCACTCATTTGAAAATACACACCGCACCGAGATTTATGACTGAGGATGCGTCTTATAAATCAAGCCAGACCTTTTTTCCTCTGCACCATGCAGAAATGTAAACACCTGCATCTGATTATTTTTATGTTAGCCGGAAAAACAGGTGCCGGCACCTCTGTTTTCAAAACAGAGAGACTAAGGAATTTAAATACTCACCTTGGTAAGAATATACTGCTGTGTAGGTGTGTGCGCACATTAGCCATGGACTGGAATATTAGTAGTGCCTATTACCATAAATACTCATATAAAATCAAAAGAAAAATTCACAGGTATGTTTCCATTATTTATTATTATTTGTATTACCCATAGTGCCTAGGAATCAATATATCTATCTATATCTATCCTCACACACCCCATCTATCTATCTATCTAAACTAATCATTAGAAAATATATAAGCTCAAATTTATGTCTAGTGTAATTCCATGAAAGTGAATTAAGTCTGAAGGATTTGTGCATAGATAGATAGATAGATAGAGTGTGTGGGGATAGATAGTTATAGAAAGAGGGGGTGCGCGGGGATAAATAGTTATAGAAAGAGGGTGTGCGTGGGGATAGATAGATAGATAGATAGATAGATAGATAGATAGATAGATAGATAGATAGATAGATAGATCTGGATTTATACCATTATAATGCAACCTTCTCAGCTGCCTAATCCTAGGGCTCCATTTCTGCCACTCGTAGTCATTCTGAGTAGCAGTTTACTCGGTGAGAAATCCC